TGATTTCATGTGGTGATACAAGTATAATGAACTCTCTGGTAGGAGTCCAGGGGTCAGCAGTGATAACATCGAAACCCACAGATGGACATGATTCTGAGCCACTTCCAGCTTTACAACAGATTTTCCAAGGTTTGATTTTGCAAATGGACACTTTCAGAAGGGGATTCCTGCCAAAATTCAATATGCTTTCCTTAATCTCCATCCCAGCCCATAATGCATTAGATTTTGCTATCCTATCAGTACTAGGTTACCTGTATGAACATCAGAGTTAAATCTGTAATATCTAAAACTGACCACTTCATCCACCTTAGGTCCAATATTTTCACCACAAAATGTTCTGCCATTGACATAATCAAGAAATTTCCAAACAAATAATAAGAGACTGAATAATCAGCACACACCATCAGAACATGGAAGAATGGATTCTGGTAGGACTTCTAAAAAAATGTTTTGTCCGTATTAGCAATTACCTTTTTTTCCAGGCAAATATATATATAGCTACAGACAGAGTATTCACATGGAAATCAGTTTCATTTTTTGCAGAATCTTAATACTGTATCAAATGCACAGATGATAAGTGCTATTATAATGAATTATATTTTGGCATCAGTTACTATGGAAGATCTTATGACTATTGGGTTTATTTAAAACAAATGTGCGCATGTATGCATCCCATCACTTTCATGTTTTATGTTTTGTGTGTGTGTGTGCGCGCGCACAGAAGGATATAGCTCAACCTTGTGACACTTATTTTTAATTGGAATTTTTTAAACATATTCAGTTTTGTGCCAATTCATACAGAGTTTTTATCAGTTACATTATTTGTGTAGTGTTTATTTGCATCTACAAAATATCAAAGTTGTCATTCTGTACTTGTATAATAATGACTTAACACAAAAGGTCATACACTAGAATATTATATTCTATACTGCTCAGTTTTTTTCTATATACAATATTTTTATAAGGTAAAATATTGTTACTTCATGTTAGCGCTACTTTTTATATTATGTACATTTATATCATACTAAAAAAAATGTAATATAATACAATTCATGTACAATAAAAGTTGAGAATATTTCATGCCAGTGACAGGCATAACTTCTTTGGTTATATCTTTTTTTCTAGATGTCTCTACACTCTTATGAACTACTGTACTAGTTAGGAACGATATTAAGGTTCCGTAATTTTCTTACTTTCACTGGTATAATAAAACCAATAATGTTTCACAAAAGTGGCAAACAAATTCATAAGTTTAGAAGAGAGATGAAGTGAAAGTTACTTTGTTTCCATTTCTTGTGGCACAGCAATATGTAATTGAATTTTAACTTCTTGTGGCTAGTTTTCAATGAGCAGTTCCTTTGT